AGGCTTGGCGCACTCGTATCGCAGTCCCTTCTCATTCTTTTACGACCCTTTTTATCTGGGATCGGTACGGCTACTAGTGTGGCGTCTCCATCGCCTCAAGATCGTGACGTATCCTCGGATTAAGGAGCTCTTTGAGGCAGAACGTTTGGACTCCGAGGAGCTGTCTAAGGCTCAGAGCTTCATTGACACGCTGACGCCAGAGCAGGTTTATGCAGTGGAGCACGCTCCCGCACTTGCAGCGGACATCAATCAGAATGACGCTAAATCGAGAATGTCCAATGCGCGCATCTTGCAGGACGAAATTGAGGCACACCTTCGGAATCTCGGTGAGTACGATGACGGACTAGGCCGCGTCTGGCGTTTCGTTGAAGAACACGCTGCGAATGGGAACGTTGCGCTCGAAGGTGCTGTCCGTGAATTCACTCGCGGAAACGGAGAACTGCGCGAGGAGGCCTGGCGTCAAGCCCTTGGACCTCTTGCCGACGAGCCATCGACTGTCGAGCCGTCAACCTTGGCGTCTGGCACCCACGCGACTCTGAAGCGGAACTCTTCGTCGGCGAACGAGAACTTCGCGCCCTTTGTTGACCATGGTGTTATCTTGGGTTGTGACGATCTGGCAGAGATGCTCGCGGCGCAGTCAGAGGCTCTTCGCGCGATTGTGTGCAAAAGTTCCGATCTCGCGCCGCTGATTCCGAAGTTTGTCACGAATGCTGAGCCCGGTTCGGAGGGCTGGATCGACGATGTGACCAGTTTCTATTGTGCGTCCCAGGTTTTCGAGGGCTCTGCAGACGACTTTCTGTTGATGAAGCGTCCCGGCCCATGCCCGCGCGGGCACGGACGGATCACGGATCCGCAGCACTACCGCTGCGTCATGCCCCCACAGCCTTTGCTGGAACGTTGGACGGCCGCCGTCGGCCGCTCAGCCACGTTTGATCCTGCTGGCCCTCGCCCGCATAAAGAGGATGTTTTCTTCGAGCGGACATTGGCTCTGGTTCGTCAGGATGGGCATTTGATTCCCTATTCGGTGCCAGATCACTCCGACGCCCTTCAGACTTACGTCTCTCCAGATGCCACCGACGACGCTTTGGCCCTCGAGCGAACACGCGTGCCGGCGGCGCTTTCCCGTCTACTCATGTCCTACGGGAATGAGGCCGCCTGGGCTGACTTAGGTGCGGCTACTCTACGACTCTTCTGTGACAATGGTGTGTCTCCGACGCATGATTTCTATTCTTATGTTGCGAGGAACGGTGCCAGTGGTGTTGACAACGCACGTTTCCTTTCGCTAGCCGACGTTCGCGCCGCCGCCGATTACTTGTACTTCCGTAGGGCGCCGATCGCTCCTTGGGAGGAACTGCTGGCGTCTATGCTTCCGGCCCCCGTCCCGTCTGCTATGCAGTTGGCTACTATTGCTGGAAAGCCCACGCCCAGGCCTACGGCTCGCCTTGTATTTTGGATGGCCGACGGGAGCGGGATGGAGGCGTGCAAATTGACCTTCAGTGCGGATTACCATTACTCTCTTAATGGGCTATGGTTCTCTGATTATCATGAACAAGCGCCAAGCGAGAAGCGATGCGATCCGTCTTCACTCGACCCCCGCCTTCGACCGTTGCTGACAAACGACGTGTTCCGAGAATACGAACGGCACGGTTATCTTTTCGCAGATGAGACACTCTACTTTCAGGCGATCAACGCTGAATTTGATGCTCGGCTTCGCGGCTTTTCATGCATTAGTGATCTCGTCGTAGCCGATCATGGCGACGGCTATGTCGCGCAGCAGCTCGGCGTTTCGGAGCGTCCAGTGGTTCATGCACCGCAAGGCTTTAGGTCTGGTGATTTCGGCCGGCGCGTGGCCGTCACCTTTCCCGGTTCGGTCGTCGTCCAGCTCGACCCCAGCGACGTCGCCTCAGGAACTGCAGAGTTCAACCTTTCGCGGCTTCTAGACAGGCGTTCGTCAGCGGAATTACACTCATCCACGCGTTCTACGAGGCGCGTGGCCATCATTGTCATCAATCAGGCTGGCGAGGATTTCTTGACTGAAGTCGCCTCGGAGATACTGCCTACGCAAGAATGCGCTTTGGGTCCTTTGGGCTCAATAGTCGACTCCACTGGTCGCGTGGCCGTGATTACGGTTCGCCGCGGTACGCTCGAGCGTGCGATGTCCACTATGACGGCGGCTGGCTTCAAACCTGTTGTGGTCTGGCCGGGTGACGCTACTCCTGGTGCGGACGATGCGGCTCGGGATGTTATTCTTGATGAGAATGATGACATGCTAGTTGAGGTTCAGGCTATCGCCACTGGAGCTTTGTTGGACGACTTGGACCGTGAGCTGGTGGCTGCGCGAGTGAGTCTGAGAAGCACTAAGGTCGCCTGGTCTCCTACTATCTGGGCCCACTTCCCATATGGTGGGCTTGGCTATCTCGCCGACGGCTCCACCACTTCGGTCAGTCAACATCAGATCAAGTCACGTCAAGACCTTGTGGCTGTGTCTGAAGACGTTTATCGTATCAAAGCCACCTGCACTCGAGCTGCGTTGTCGACGAAGGCTGATACCACGTCTTCACTATACGCGCCGTTACTCGCCGCTGTCAGTACGGGACAGACCGTGACGCATCCTCATGCGTCCGCTTTCAAGAAGCCCTTGAAGCGTCCTGACGGCCTTGACCTGCCACAGGCGCGTGCTTTCCAGCTTGCGACCGGCTCGAACTCCGTAGTATGCATCCAGGCGCCTGCGGCCACCGGGAAGACTCACGTTTTGAGCGCACTCGCGTCTGCGTTCTTGTCGGCGGGGTGTCGAGTGCTGTGCGCCGCGCCCTCCAACGCGTTGGCCATTGAGTTCTACGAGAAGATGCAAAAGGTGATTCCCAAACGGACGTCGATGGGCATTGCCCTTGGTTCATCGCAAGAGTACGTTGGTCCTGGCGACGGCCAAATGATGGTTTGCTCAATTGATTCCGCGTTTAAATTGGCTCATGGTCGGTTCGACATCTGCTTGGTGGATGAAGCAGGCCGGACGTCCTGCGCGCAGCTTCTCTCTGTCCTCTATCGCCAGCCGAACGTCTTCAAGCTCGTTTTAGTCGGTGATGAGGAACAGCTAGCACCGTTCCGCCATTCGACGGAATGGACGGCTACGCTCCTTTGGGAGAGTGCTCTCGGCGTGGTCGTCGCGACCGGAGGCGCAGTCTGTATGCTGACGACTCAGTGCCGCTGTCCAGCTGCTCGGATGCAGGCGATCTCACAACGGCAGTACGGCGTCTCAGTTCAGTCTGGTCCTACAATCAGAGATGCGTTTGGCGTCGCCTTTCACAAGTTGCCTGAACCGGCCAGGTCCCATGGATCTTCTTGGATCAACGACTACGAAGTTGAATGGGCTCTGCGAATGACCCGTTTGGCCTTGGACAACGACCTGGTACCTGAAGTGGTCTGTTACTACGAGGCTCAGCGCCAGCTGATCAGGAGCAGGATGGGCGCGCTTGCGAGACGGGACCCAGCTAGCCGGCGCTTTGCGACAGTTAGGGTACGGACGCTCGACTCTGTGCAGGGCCTGACGCTTCAGGATACCATTCTGTGTTTGACCCGTCAACGGGCTCCTGAGTTTCTGTGTGACTCAGCCAGAGCGCTTGTAGCTTGCACGAGGGATACGGATCAACTGGTCATTTCATGCGCGGAAGAGTGGTTCGACGCGACTCCTGCCAGCCGAGCCTTGAAGGTGCATTGTTGCCCTGATGCTGGCGCCCTTCCCCTGGAAGCCGATCAACTTGCCCTTTCGTTACGCCGCCTGCAGCGCAAAGCCGCGGTGATTCACGCTTCGGATACGTCGCGACTCGCTTCGACCGTCAAGGTCATTATTTCCGGAGGCCGGGTTGACTGTAAGCCTTTAGTCAGGGATGTTCACTGGCGTGGGCACGCGGTTCCTGTTGCGTTTTCTAATCTGCTTGCCGCTCACGCCCAGGCTTTTACGCCCGACGAATGGGAGCGTGATGAGATTTTGTCGACGAAGGAGCGCGACCATGACAAGCACTGGCGTTCGCTGCGGTCCCTGTTCTCGTCTCCTGTTACTGGCGGCCGCCTCGTCCGTGCGCAGTTCAGAGAGCCACTCGAGTTCTTCGAATTGTCTTCAACGGACGCCTTCGCGCGTTTTGCTACGGAGATGCAATGCTGCCCGGTTACTGGTAGCATGACGGACGTTGAGGACGCCTTTGACGACGGGTTAGATTTTGCGGTGCTCTTGGCGGATGGATTTCCGAAGACTCCTGAAGGCGCTCACCGCTGGCGGGTCGACGCCAGTGTGTATTCTTGCCTCCATTCTGCGTCGGTCGCCGGGTGGCTTATTTCAGCCGCGGCCTACTGGCCGGGGAAATGCAAACTTGACCCACGCGTTGTCCTTTATCGTGTTGCGCCACGGGATTCTGTTGACGAGAACCTCTTCATGTCTGGCGACCTCATTTCTGGCCTCAGAAAACATATGCTTGCGAACGCCCTTTGTGACATCAGAGCGAACGCCCTTGCTGAGGTTGAGTCTGCCCGACTTGCTCTGGTGGAACAGGCCGCAACGGGTAAGTTGACGAGTCCGACCTACACCAAGGAGGATGTCGTGCACTTCGGGCTCCGCCTTGGCTTTGATATGGATGGCCCTGAGCTTGCTAAAGCAATCGGGCGCTATACCTCTCGTGAGGCCGTCGCTGCCCAACGCTTGCAGGCAGCCGTGCGCGCTTTCCTGACGTGTGAGTTACAGAGCGTTTGGAATGCCACTTGGACGTCTGACGGAGCGGATGGAATCGAGCGTCCGTTGGTAGAGGTAGCATGTTTAAATGTCGCCAGAGCCACGCGGATGTCCGAAGTATGTCGTGACATTATGGGGGTCCTCTGCCAGCGCATCAACCCTTCTCGAGACGTTCCCGGACTCATGCCCCAGAAAGACCTGGAAGCGGCGTTGCCAGAGCGAATGCGAGCTGACGTACGCTTTGGCCTTGCGCTTTTGCAGAAATACAGATCAGCCCAGGTCGTCATTCAGAACGGCGTGCGTGCGTCCGTGCCCTCCATGGCCACCGCTGCTACGTGGACTACGCCGCCTTCCTCCCTGAACTTACACCCGGCCCGAATTCTCCTGCGAGGTTCATGTTCCACGGGACCTGGACCGACCTCCTAGATTCAATTGAAGCCACCGGCTTGAATACTGGCATCAAAACCGGACTCTATTTGCAGACAGCCAGGTGCGCAAGTGCCAGGTAAAGGGAGGTCGAAGTTTACGGCGCACGTCGCAGTAGATGTCTGCTTGGCTCGCAGACGCGGATGTCGCCTCTTTCAGCTCCCGCAAGGCTCAGCTGTAATGACGTTGCCTCAAGCTCTCACGTCGATCCCTCCAAGCATGTTTATTGCCTTCGAGGTTCGGCCTGAGCATCTGAGCGTCTGGAATAAAGGGTCCGGACACGATGCAGATGTCTTTGATCTCCTACGGGCCGGTGGCTCAGCGCCCGCCAGGCATGCGTCACCGTGCATTGGGACGTTCCGTTTGTTTCAGGGCGACGGGGCCTGCTACCTCCCGAAGGTCGAAGCGGGTTCTTCCGTTCACTGGCGAGTTGATCATACAATGCTCCAGGATTTCTCGCCGCGCGAGGACCACGGAGTTGTTTCTGTCAACCAAGCTTCGGGTTCGAGTAATATGGCCGGTGCTCTTCGCCCGTTGCGCGATGACTACTCTGGCGGACGCGCGCGGCATCACAGTGAAGTGCTCCACGCCTTGCCCGGCGCCATGCGTGACTTCGTCGAGCGGAGCTGCGCTTGCCGGCTCGCCGTATTGCCTACGCCTTTGACCGTCCGCCAGCTCCGCGAGGAGTCCACGGATCTGGAGCCGCTCCTGCCAATGAAGCGGCTGCAGGCCGTCCAACACTTACATCACCTCGGACATGTTGAAGCGCCACCTGGAGGCGCGTTGTGGGCTCTCTGGCGCAGAGCTTGTGGCGACGCCGTAGAGGCTGCTTTTACATCGGTGCACCAAGCGCGCGCGTACTTCTCCACCTGTCCTGGCGCAGGGGGCGCCGCGAAGTGCATTCCCCAGCTTGAGGCCTGTCCCTGGGTTCAGCAGGCGTGCAATATGGGTCGCCCTGTTGATCAAGTGGCGGCCCCTGCGGTCTCCACGTGCTACAGCCCTGTTTTTGGTGCTTTTGCGATC